TTTTAGAGTGACAGCAGCGTGGCCAAGATGCAGTGCCAGGGAAATAGACACGCCTCACGGGCCTCACTCCACAGGGGCCAAGGAGCGCAGCAGGCTGCACACCCACTCTACAGATGGGGAGACCGAGGTGGGGGCATCAGCCATCAGCCAGGATCAGAGTCAGTCTCGCAGGACCGACCAGCTCACCTGTCCCCAGGCCCCAGTGCAACACTGCCCTCTCAGACCCGCACATGTCCCTGCCTGTCCTGAATTGTCACGTCTGGCTTCTCTCGGGCCTGAGCACCAGGGATGTCAACAGGTGTCACATGTTATGGACAAGCTGCCCAGCCTCAGGACCTCCCTGTCTGGGAAGAGGCCCCCCAGCAAGAGTCTCAGGTGACCTCAGTAGTCCAAGGCCCTTCCTGAAGTAGAGGTGGATAAAAGAGAACATAGCCAGGCTCCACGGCAGCAGGCTGGGAGTCCACCTGCACCTCACTGCCCTGCAGGTACAGTGTGACCTCGTGCATGTCATGGTCCTTGCTGAGGCACTCATTGTTACCGTTGACGGTGCCTGCTGCCTCACCAAGCTGGGAATACTGTGCTGTAATTCACCACCCAGATGCACCCCCACCAAGCCCTGCTCAGGGCGGGCACCGTGAGAGGGCAGCCAGATGTGGTCTCGGCTTTGCCCTTGGGCTGGAAGGGAGGGTTGGAGTGCATTGTCCTGTGGATGCCCAGGAGGTAACAGCAAAGGCCCTAGGAACGCCGAGCCCCACACCATCTCTGCCCTTCCTCCCCTGCCCAGCACTCTGGCAGTGCCCACCTGTCAGTGAGTAGATGAGACAGCAGGCCAGCAGGGACAGCAGGGAGACTACGGCCCAGTGGGACAGGCTCCGTGGGCGCAGGCTGCAGTAGATGGACACGGCGGCTTCGTGACACTGGAACACAGGGCTACGGCTCAGCAGGACTCTAGCCAACAGGCACTGGACCCACCCAGAGCCACAGGAGAAGCACTGTGTCTACAAGGCAGGGCGCACACTGTGTATACCCCAGCACCAGGGGCAGAAGCAAATCACGGAGCTCTCACTGTGAAGTATTACATGGCTCTAAAAAAGGTTAAGCACAACCCCATGCCTCAACACAGACCAGCCACACAGGCAATGCAAAACAGGTAGTCAGGTATGGTGGTGTACATCTCTAATCCGAGCACTCAGAGACCAAAAGATTGCGAAGTTGAGCCTAGCCTGGGCAGCTTAGCAGTTTAGTAAGACTGTCTCAAGATAAAAAATAGGCTTGGAGTATAGCTCAGTGGCACAATGCCTACCTGGCAAGCACAAGGCATGAGTTTGACTCTTGGTACCAAAAAGTATGTAAACAAATAAATGGTGTGGGGATGCAGCTCAGCGCAAAGGTCCTGGGTTCAAGCCTGAGCCATATACGCGAGCACACGCCCACCAGGCAGACTCCCCTACACCAGGGTCGTAGGTCCTCAGCCTAGGGACACAAAGACACAGCATCTGGGCCTCACTCCCATGGAGATGGCCCCATCTGTGACAGCCCCACATGTGTCTGCATTGGTGTCATGGCCTGCTGGGGGTGCCATGGCCTGCTGCGACCCCGCTCCATGGTGACAAACAGCAAGACAGTGGCTCGGGGCAGGGTAGGAGAGCTACTGACTGAGGGAGGTGGCAAGGGGCCTCCTGAGGGTGACAGCGACACCTGGCACACACCCAACGTGTGAACTGCACACTCTGCAGGTCAAGTGCGCCACTGCAGTAAGCACTGTGCGGTCAACGCTCGGAGCCGGTGAGCTGGCCTTCTGCACGTGTGGTGGCCCCAGCACCAGTGCCTCACAGCCAAGCACCCTGGTCCAGGACGCGCGCTGGCCCTGCCAGGGGCCTCCTCACATCCACTTGCCCACTTGCTGTCAGGCCAAGGGAGCACGAATGATACCTCCTTGGGACACCCTCTGTGTCTCTCGGGAGGGATCCTGTCCTAGTCCAGCAGCCCTGCCTTCCCTGAGCGAGCTCAGAGCCCGCCGCAGCCAACAGCAGCCAGGGTGGCCAGCGACCTGACTCCAGCTGCCGGCGTGCAAGCACTCAAGTTGGCATAATGTAGATAAATGGTCCAGCACGGCACCCCTCTCAGAGCACTGTGGAAGGGGGTGCCATTCTCCTGGCCCTCCAGCCTCTGGTGGCTGCGGCCTTTGCTTTCTTTCCTGGGGACCCCCTCACTGCC